CACAGTGTAGCAGTGTGTCAGTATTCCCTGACTGTGAAGAGGCCTTCAGTCCACGTTGAAGTGGTCGGGGCGGTATCTTACCAGTTTCCTGTTGGGACACCTCAGTCATTGCAGTTCATGTACAAACTGCCTCTAACCAGCTTCATCAGGTGAAATATTTTCTGCTTTTTCACAAGCATGGCCTTGAAGAGGTGATTACTGTAATTGAACATATTTCTTTCAGACCTTTGACCGTGTCCACAGAGGAGTACGGGACGATGTGGCTGGACTTCTCTCATGATACAAAGCAGAACCTGACGGTGATAAGTGACAGCGAAGAGCCTCTCACAGCCACGCTGAATGTGCTGAAGAAGAAACTTCATCTTCATGTTGTGGAAATCATAGGTGAACAGACATTTAGTTTTTTTATTGTTTTCTTTTGAACAGAAAAAACAGCATCAATTGGGATACATTATATGGCCATATAACTCTGTAGAAATAGGTAAAAGGAAAAAAAATAAAAATAGATGAATCAAAAAACAAATTAGTTAAATAATCATTGGCTGTTTCCAAAATCTAAAATGAACCGTCAAAATTAGCTCATCAGTTTTGATGCTCTTCTGTTAGGACATCTCATAAATACACACGTGAAATGTGCAGTGGTAGAGGATTTGATCAGTAGGTTGATATTAACTACAATCTGCTGTATTTTACGCTATGAGTGAGTAACCCTTTTGATGTTTCCCCACAGGTATGGAAGGTATTGTAGCCTGCCGCCTCCTCCAGGATCAGCCGTGTCTGATGCACTGTCGCCTGCATGCAGGAACACTGGCCGTGTGGCTACGCTCTCCGGTCCCGGACCTGCCCGACTGCCTGATGTATCACTGTCAGAGAGCTTTACAGGAGCACTGAGCCTCCGACTGCAACTCCTCCACTGACGCTACTGAGCAACACAACCACCTGACCCTCTACCACTGTAGAGGACGAAGGTACACAGAGCAGTAGTGCAACACATCATCCTCATCTTTGTATTACAATGTTTACCTTTTGTTTATCTCTTCCACGAAAGCTACATTGTAGGATTTTTGTATGTCCACTAATCAGTTAAACTGATGGAATAATCCACGTCTGTTTGAAAGTCATGGCTGGTAAAAACCTCAGGGCCAAAAGATTGTGTTTGATGTTTTCAATATCAACAATGTCTTAAAATGATGACTTGAAAACTTCAGTGGTTGAAACATTGTTCATTAGTGAAATGAATGCTAAGTATGATATTCTTGGTATGAAAGGAAAATCATAAATTTCTGGTATTTTTTTGTGCCCCAGGGGTCCCATTTATAAACATTGTGTATGCACAAAACGAGGCTTGAAAGAAGGGTACGCCACTTCCTACGCAAAAGTTGTGATGTATAAAAACAGACTTGGTGGGAGAAACTTTGACCCGTGCTTAGGTGGAAGCCTGATGGTAGAAATTGTTGAATATTTTTTGGTGCATTTTGTCCGTACATACGTTTATAGTATGGATCCTACACATTGTTCTATAAATGAGATCCCAGGTCTGCATGCTGAGTGTCAACAGAGATCATGTCCTGCTTTCTAATTTGCGATATTTTTTAAAAATGAGCTACATTTTTTAAGTTAGAGCGATCATAACAGCGAAGCCCATTTAGATTTTAATCAGACATAAAAGTAGTTTTGTTTATTTTCAGCAATACTGACTGAAGCAATACTGACTGAAATGAAAAGATTAACACTAATTCTTGCATCTGATTGGTTGATGTTGTTTATTAGGTGTTCTGGGAGAAGCACAGGGAAGATAATGATTTTTTTTAGTAATATGAAATTCATTGTTCATTATTTGTGGTAAGGAAACAAACCAAACTGAGCATTAAAGGAGAATTTAAAATAATCTAAAACAAATATTCCTGCTCGTCTTCACCGAAGTTTCAACACATGAAAAAATGTTTACATCCCTGTTTGTGTTTAGGATTACATCAGGCTGACACTAACCTCTCACTGCAGCAGTTACACATATTTCTTACATATACAATGAGAGTATTTTGTCTTAAATTTAGCGCTCTGCGATGTCTTGTCAGCATTTCAGATTTCGCTCATGTTTTGCAGACGCTACCTTCTGTATGATGTGATTATCTATGCACTCATGTTTCTGTCAGTTTTGGGTGAGAGGTGGATTTTAGTGGTCTTTGATTATTATATTTTTGTATCAATGCAGTATTAAAAACATATTTATTGGATTTATATTCTTACAGAAAGTATTTTATATTGATTTGTCTGAAAGGAAAAAAAATCATCGCGCTCTGTGAACTGTCTGATCGTGCTGCACCAGATTTGACTCGTCTCGGCCTGTTTTATTGAATTCAACTTGAAGGGGAAGTTTACGTTTGTTTGTTTTTTTGTTGCCTGATTTGAAGCACAGCGAGAAACTAACAATGTGTCTAAAACTTCAACTCTAACCCAACGCCTTATGTTCTAATGCCAAGGTGGCGTGTTTGATTTGTGCCTGTGGTACAGAGAGAATCATTGTTTCTTAGAGTGCCTGTCACTATGTTCTGCTAACTTATGAATAAATTCAAACACATGTAAATTAACTTGATTCTGACTCAGTGATTCTTCATTTAATAAATGCTGTCATGTATCATAGGTCTGTAATAGCTTTGAAACAGATGTGCAGAGGAACATTTTACAGTAAAGAAAATATTTTCTAATGTTTGCTCTTCTCGTGATATTTGCTGGAATACAATATTTCAGATAGTTATTCAATGAGTATTGTTTACTTTGCGCATACACCAAATATAAAAAAAACAGCATAATTTGACTTGCAGCCTTCTTTGTAAAAAAGAAATAATCTTTGTCTCTTATCAACATTTTTTATACATGTAACATGAGAAAACATCACAAGATAGAGAGGTCTAACACATATCAGTACCTTCATTCACCTTGTCATCATACTAATCCACAGACACACACACACCAAATATACAACAAATTAAAACAATTTAAACTTTGATTATGTTTAAAACAGTAACATTTTAATGCTAAAGGAAACACATACTGTATGAAAATATATATGTAACATGATAACGCTGTCTTCATCAACAGGATTTAACTGTAATTAAAATGTACGAAGCAAGTTGTGATGTGTCACCACATCACGACATGCTTGTAATTAGTTTAGTTTATGTGCACATACATGTATAGAAAATACAGGAAAAAGGGGTTAGAAACCAAAAACGGCTCATGAAGATATCTCCCCTATTAAATAACAACAATTATACATAAAAAGAAAAAGATAAAAGCAAAGATTGCATAATTGAAGAAGAGCTCCAGACTAAGAAGTGATACAAAATCATTAGAGATGAACAAGTTTCCAAAAAAACAAAACAAATTACAAATGAATTAATAAGTGTTAAGAGTCTTTGCAAATTAGTCCTTTTTTTATGTTTTGAATTTTAAAAGAAAAATCCCCCCCCCCATTTTTTTTATCATAGTAGTTATATCTGTGATAGTTTAATATATAATTATATAATATCTATAGTTAAAAGGCAGTTTATATAAGTTTATATAAGAGTTTATATATGAGTTTATATAAGGCCTCAATTAGTATTAAAATGTATTGAATGAATCTTTTTAAGTCTTAATGCTGAGATATGGAAAATTAATGTGCATGTTTTGTTTTTTTGTCATTGCATTGTTTAATCTCAACCTTGTTAGTAACATCTGCTTTACAAAAAAAATAATTTACTAAATGCCTCACTCGTTAACATCACACAGATCAGGACAGGGGGAACTGACTGTGTTTCTGTCCAGGATGCTCAGAGGCTGCACTGTCTGCAAGAGAGCTGTCACTGCACATTGGGAAGTGCAAATTCTACGAAAATCGTCTGTTTCACCAAGATTTCGCAGCACGATTGAAACTGTTACAAGCCAATTCATAAGGCTCTGAGAATTTTGTGTAAAAAGGTTTTCAGACACTTGATGGCGATCAAGACAGTGGAATCCCACCTGCAGAGTGAGATGCATGATAAAAAACTTGCCAACAAACACCACTTCTGTTCAACCCTCGTCTTCACCACGAGACAAAATAAGTTATGTTTTATGTTCAACTAAACATGTGGGCTAAATTGTCCCGCCCAATGGGTGCCAAGGTGGTTCAGTGGTAAGCACTGCTGCCTCACAGCAAGAATGGGGTTCAAACCCTCCATCCAGCTAGGGCCCTCCTGTGTGGAGCTGGATGTTATCTCCAAGCTCTCTGGCTTCCTCCCACAGTCCGACATCCACGTTAGCTTAATTAGTGACTCTAAATTGCCCGTGGGTGTTATCTGTTTCTATGAGGGATGAGCGAGCACACCATTATCTGTATCTGTTCAACCAATTTAATTATCTGTATCCATAAGTGTACTCAGATTGGGTGGAGTTTGAACTAGAAGTGGGTGTGGCTTACACTGTAAATGGGTGGGACGGAACCAGAAGTTGTTACTTTAAACCTGAAATTGATTAGAAGTTGCTATATTTATTATTTATTGGACTTAGAGAACAATCTGAGGATTGAGCTTCAGATCAGTTTTGATCACAAGAATAATAGATTAAACACAGCTACCCAAATGAGCATTTTTCTTCATCACGTCCCTAGGTAATTGACGTTGGTTCTTGTTTTCTTCCTCCTTCGATTTTTGTTACTGTAAAATTGGTTTTAAACATCATCAAGTGGCATTAAACAGTCTTAAATCTAATTTGCCTCAAGCTGTAGGAGCCCTGTATATCCATGTCCACACCGGCTTTCCATACTGGATCCCACAGTCCAGAAAATCAGCCTTGCTCTGCTCCATGTCGTCTAAAACTTTCAATCGTATTCACTAAAGGTCAGTAATGTCAAAGCAGACAACATTCGACTATACTAAAAGGAGCAGAGAGGCAGAGCTGAGCACTTCATGTATTTATCGCAAGCAGCATCATTATTGCAATATTTAAAAACATTATTTTGATATCACGTGTTTCTCTCATATCGTGCAGCCCTGATTTGTACAGACTTGACCGGAGAATATTTTTGTATCAGTTGCAAAAGTAGTTTCCACCCAGATGTAACCCCCTGTGTCTCAGTGGTGATTCTGCTGATTGTGTTGAGGTTGTGTTGTCCGAGGGATGAAGCGCATGGCCAGGCTGTGCTCATCCTCCACAGGCTGCTGCGACAGGTTGTTAGTCTGCCTGATGCTGTCGAGGGTGCAGCCCTGGCGAGGACACACGGTGTAACGCGACAACACAGTGACCAGGATGGCCTTCATCATCACTAAGGCGATGTGTTTGCCCACGCAGGAGCGGGGCCCACAGCCAAAGGGCTGGAAGAAACGATTGGGCACCTGCCAACCAGAGGAGGTAAACACTGAGCTGTTGTTTTTGTTTCTGCAGCCACATAATGTTGCAGAACATTCAGCTGACTTACCGTTTTGTCGAAGTTCATCAGGCTGAACTCTTTGGGTTTGGGGAAGAATTCAGTCTTGTGCATGAGACCAACGTTGAGAATGATGTTGGTTCCTTTTGTGATTTTAATGCCTTCGATGGTGTCGTCTTCCAGAGCTTTTCTCATTGTGAAATCAACCACAGGATGAAACCTCAAAGACTCATTGATGAAACTCTCCAGCACTTTCAACCTTTGATAATCAATGTTTTCACTGTCATCACCTGGGTGTGAAAATGCAGCATTCACACACTGTTGGAATAGTTAAATGTTTGGCGGGCATAGAGTGAAACTCAGATTAGCACCACACAAATGCACTCACTCAAGACAGTGTTCATCTCCTCCACTATCCTCAGCTCCACATCTGGGTTTTGTTTCAGCAGCATCAGCATGAAGAAGAGGCTGATGGAAAGAGTATCAGGTCCAGCAATCACCATCTCCAGCACGCACTGCCTGACGTTATCTGCCGAAAGCTCTCCGACATTCTGTTGAAAAGAAAGATAAGGTATGCAGAATGCACCATGTGACTCTATTGGTATAGATTTAATGAAAAGAGCCAAACCTGAGCAAAGATAAGCTCCGTCGCAAAGTCAAAAGCTTCGTCCACCTTCTCACATTGATTTATCATCTTTCGTTTACATTCCAGAAGGGCCTCCATCGTGTCCTGCAGTTCCTGGCTGTTGGCACAAAAAGCAGCACAAAGATTAAAGACAAACTAATGTGTTTTTCTTCCTAAATCTTATTTTCAATGTTTTTTTGTCGAAGTGATGAATGGAGACAACAAGAGAGGGGCTGCAGCTTGAAACTGGCTGCAGTGTATTCATTCAGGGTAAATATGCACCGTCAGTGTACGTCCACCTAAAGTGCTTCTTTTTGCCTCTGTCAGATTGTTATTATAAGTGTCTGACAACATTATGGAAAAGACCCTGCTGTGAAATAAATTGTTGTTCTCTACCTTTAGCTTAGTCTGACTCACTGGATGTAGACTATGGTTCTAACCCTGCCATTGGCTGACTATTTTGGCTGTCATTCTCACTCCCTCAAACTCCCCTTAGGGAAACAGTTAACAAGTAACAAGAGCTAACAATCTTAATGCTGAAAATGTCAAGCTTTGATTTGGATCCAGTAAGGGATGCCTGCTTTGTTCTTTCAGTGAATTGTTTTAAAGATCTACTGTGAATAAAACAATTTATAAACGCTTGTTGGAAAATCCCAGACTCCATCTCACACGATACTCCTGCCCGATGTGTATCTGTTCTCTGACACAACCTGTCATAGATGATTTACCACATCTTTCCAAATGTACCCAGTCAAACCTGAATACGAGCCTTTCTGCGCCAGAGATCTGATCTTGGATCATTCCAGCTCCCTGCTGGATCAGCAAACTTTCTGTTGTTGCTGTCAGTGGAGCTGCTGTCCTCCTGGACAGTCTGCCTGGTTAGCACAAGCTAATACAGCAACATCACTAGCATCCAACGCCAAGCCATTAAACTGTCCCCAAAACAAGCCAGTGTTTTTTCCTCTATAGCAGAAGGATAATTGATTGATTCCAGACCTTTCTAAGGCGCTGACTAAGCACTGTGAAGACTGGTCTGGCTACACGAGACTACCTTTGACTTCATCCAGTCTGTTTGTTAGTGTGTGTGAGGCCAAGGGTGCATTCACATCAGGATACTCCAGGGGACTCAGTTTGTTTGGTTTGTTTGTTTTTTTAAGATATTTTTTGGGCCATTTTGCCTTTAATGGACAGGACAGGTAAGCGTGAAAGGGGGAGAGAGAGGGGGGATGACATGCAGCAAAGGGCCACAGGCTGGATTCAAACCCAGGCCGCTGCAGCAACAGCCTTGTACATGGGGCGCCTCCTCTACCACTAAGCCACCGACGCCCCAACACACTGCACTTTTTAAAGCGGACCAAACTGCCTTGACAATGTCATGCAGTTACAACAGCTGCTCGTTTGGGGGCAGTATTGCCCAAAATGACCACTGACTAGGAAGAAAAAAAGCATGAGGAAGAAGGAAACCCAGCTCATTGATTGGCCAGGACTGAAAACAGAAATCCATCCTCTTCAGCCGACTTGGTCACCACAATAACAATGGACGCACCTCCTCACTACTCCACGTCTGCCCATGAGACTTTTTCCAACTTTTTAATTTTTTACCTCTGCTTCTCCCATTTTACGCTGTTGGCTTTGTTTTTGTTTTTTTCTACCCAGAATGTTCACTTCCTCTCTTTGGTTTGCTGGTTTCCACACCAGTGTTCGAATGAGCGTTCACACCACTGCAAACGAACCAAATTATAGGTGGAAGCAGACCAGGGTTTGTTTAAAGCAGACCAAATAGCACCAGTGTGAATGCGTCCTAAGTGTCATTCTGAAGTCTTGCAGACTTTTCCACATTGTTGAAATTAGCTGGATTTCAGCTATGACATTAAAAATCTTTTAGATAACACTAAGCTATGCTCTCTGTACTTCTCTGTCCAGCTCTCACTACACTTCCCACTGCTGTTTTCCTGGAACGAGTACAAAAAGCACTTTTAGAGGATGTACCTTAACGGTGCACAATTGCCCTGAAGGATTACAATGCAGCTTGTTTCACTGCTGCAGCTGCAGCTCTCTCATTCAATACTGGACCACTTTAAAAAAAATTGTCCTTCCCATTAGTAACTTAGGGTGCAGGTTGAAAAATATCAAAGTTTACCTTTAAGTTGAATACATCACAAGCCATATGTGAAGTTACTGTGGTGTGTGAGGAGGATCTTACGCTGCTCTCTTGTGCTTGTTGTACAGCCATCCAATCTTGAAGAATATATCAGGCATTATTAGAACTGTTTGCCAGGTGTCAAAGTAGTTGTTGATTTTAAGCAGCAAGTCCTTTGCTGAGTTGTGAGGAACAAAAGACAGAGTCAGAGGCTGCAGTGAAAGAGCTCATAATAGTATTTACTGTTAGGAAATACATGGTTCAGTGTAGAATGTGCAGACAGTGAACGCGCAGCTGACCGTTGAGCGGCACCCTGAGGAAAAGCTTGTTTGAGACGTCCACCACGATGGCTCTCAGCAGAGAGAGAGCATCCACATGCTTGGAGGGGTCGGTCATCTCCTGCAGGCTGTCCAAGTGTTCGGCTGTTGAGCTCACACAGATTCCCACCGAATTCTGGAGGTTAGGGCCTGTCAGAGCTGTAACATGACCATGCAACAGTACAGTAATTCAAACACAGTGAAGCAGCATTACATTTATTGACTTCAATTTGCAGGGTTTGGAAAAGAGAGAAAGAGCTGTGGATTAAGGCATCACGATACACAATTACTCACCTTTGGAAAAATATGTCCTCAGTTTTTTCCAGAGCTCGACATCACTATTGAAAATGATACCGTTCCCTTCCATCCCAATACACGCCAGCCCTATTTTGCTCCCAAATCTGGCTGTGTAGTTGGCGCTCTTCAAAACATGATAAACTGCTGAAGTCCTGCAAGAGTTTCAAGGCTTTGACTTACTACAGATTTATGGGATAAACTGTGAGTGTAAAGAGTTTTTATCTTAGAGGACTTGCCTGCTTATAATTAGTGTCTCCTCGCCATTAATCCAGACCCGCACGATGCTGCCATATTTGTTGTTATAGTAGTTGCACGCCGTTCCTATCCCAGTCCAGATGAATCTGCTGTAGGAGAGGACAGGACCGAGTCCTGCTAAGAAGGAAGGACCTGGGAGAAAGAAACAGGTAATGATTTAAGATCCCAGGCTGAAAACAAAGGTCTTTATGTGTGAGAATCGGTAAACCGTTGTGTTATCTCATCAATAATATGATGCAAAATCATATACTTTGGCTCTAATCATGATTGTGAAAACTTTCTGTCACCATTTAAAGTACAAAACACTTTTACACAAGCTCTTTAACACACGTTTCTTTCCCCTGTTACTTCTATCTGCTCACACCTGCAGTCAAGGCCGTAACTACCATTGAGGACACCGAGGTCATGACCTCGGTATTTTTTCCCGACCTAAATGAATGAATAAAATGAAAATAAAAATAAACCATTTTAATTCGTGCAGTGAAAGTACATGGGAGGACCGATGGAAGGTGATTGAGTGACTCTCTCTTCTCTATAATAACAATTATTTAAAAAAGAAAATTCTGGTACTCTTGTTTGATCGACGCAGCTTTCATACAGCTTTGCACACACATTATTCTTGGATGGATTACTCACGAATGCAGGGTTGCACAGAAACTCCACGCATATCACATAAAAGTGCAGGACCAGAGCTTTCCGAGGATACCACACACATCATTGTGCTGTCATCCCAACACGCTATAAATACAGATCAATTGTCTACAAAATAAAAACCTGACAAATTTCTTTACAATCCATTATACAGATCTTGTTATCAGTCACTTCATATAGTGAGGAATATAGTATCTTACCACGTCTTAGGCTTGCGTGTGTTTCTCCCTGTCTATCAACACTTGTAGTCCGGCTTTCAAGATGCAAATATCTCCATATTCTCCAGTTGTCACTCAATCAAACTTTGTATGACAAGACCAGCGCACTTCACCTTTGCGCACCCAGACAACTGTAGCCTAATTATGCATGCGTGACAGGGCTGTAGTCATCATATACATTGAGGGGGACACCCCCCCCCCCCCCCCCCCCATGCCCAAAATGTCCCCCCAATATATAACTGAAACTGAAAAACAACAACAAAAAACTTTCAGGTCAGGCCAAAGAGCAGCACAGAGCACAGAGAAGTAAGTCAAGATCATGTCGACAAGAAAACATCCAGAATTTTTTTTTTACTGCAAAGTGGCAAATATTATCTTGGAGGACATCATTGCACTTGGTTGACTATTTTTCTATGACCTTAGATGTAAATATTGCATGTTTATTTCAGATAAAACACATTTTTGACTTGTGAATGAGTCAATGGAATTTCTTGCAATAATGAAAAAATACTGGCAAACATGTCCGCCTGGCACAAACCACATGTTTTGGACAACTGTGAAGTGACACAATGTCCCAGCATCATGGTTCTTATATTGCCAGATTCCAGAGAGTCTCCCCTCTTCATATATGGCAGAATATGTCAACTTCCAACTTGCTATGGTGAGATACATGTAAAAATGTAAGAATTTAGTAACACAGATTTGTTTTTTTCATTGATATAAAAATTAATATAACTGACAACTGACAGAAGAAGAGAAGTACTTCCTGCTAAAGAATAAGTGGTTCAAACATAATTATAAATACCCACAAACAAAGTTTGGTGAAAGGCAATTACGCTATAGTATGAAGTGGGAAGAGAAACATGATAAGATGGGATTAATCTAATGTGATGTGTATAGTTCTTTATAGATGTAGCCTCTTAATTTGGCTGTCAAAGTACACCAGATTGAAGGCTTTTGATATATAATTGACAAAAATTTCTGACCCCCCCACGTGCACCACGACTAAATGACCTCGGTATTTCAAAAATCCTGCGTAAGGCCCTGCCTGCAGTCACTCATCACATGGATCAATATATTCAAGTTATGTATAAGAACAGAGGCTGAAGTCTCACCGGGTATCTGTGACCGGTTTGTTCGGCTCCACGCAACGAGAAGCAGCAGCAGCAGCAGCAGTAAAAGCAGAAGGGCAGTGGCTTCAGCCGCTGTGTCGACCACCACAGGTCCGATGCTGAGTGTCTCCAGCAGCTGCATCCTCCTCATGAAACCAGCCAGGCTCGCACACCTGAGCACGTTTACTGTGTCCTCTGTCTGAGTGCTCTTAAAGCTTCTGTCTGCTTTAAACAACAGACAAACCAATCATAGTCCATTTGTTAAAACACAACTGACAAACCTCAATCTGTCGACAGCGTTCCTATTCATCACTTGTATTTCTCTTGTCCTTGTAGATAACGCAGGCATGCATTAAAACCAAAACACACTCACACAGAGCTTTATGATGATCTATTTGTTCCTGAGACAGCTGTTTATCTAATACGCTAGATCTAATCCTAAATTTTCTTTGGCACAACAGATCTGTCACCTAACCTATCTTGTTTTCCCCTGCAGCCCAGCCACACCCTGTGTTCCTTGGTAAACCAGTCTAACAGGCAAACCATACAGCCAAAATTGCTGTGATTGTAACCACAAGTTAAGCCTGGTTTAAAGCAGGCATGTCCAAAGTCAGGCCTGAGGGCCAATTGTGGCCCGCAAACGGATTTTAAACGGCCCTAGGCTTGTCTCTTCAAAAATATGCTACATGTGTCCTGCCACATGATATTGATTCATCAAGCAAGTTTATTTTGCATTTGTTCCACTCAGCTCACAATGACAGGACTATTGTATGGTTTGTAGACAGGCACCAAGTACGAACTACACAGATGGAGCTAATGTGTTTTCATAAACAGATGGTAAACAAGTGAACAAACAGTTACCTAGCAGAAGACATGGCCACAGCAAAGAAGCATAAAGTCGACATTCTAATATGGCAACCATTCAAAAAAATTTGGACACCCCTGATTTAAAGGGACACTTCACCCCCAAATCAAAACTACATATTTTTCCTCTTACCTGTAATGCTATTCATTAATTCAAATTGTTTTGGTGTGAGTTGCCGAGTGTTGGCGATATCGGCCGCAAAGATGTTTGTCTTCTCTCCTGTATAATGGAACCTGATGGCATTCGGCTTGTGGTGCTCAAAGCACCAAAAAAACACATTAATAAATATTCAACAGCAATGTGTCTTTATGGAAATCATGACCCGGTTACTCAAGATAATCCACAGACCTTGTTGTGAGCAGTTTCATGTAGGAACTATTTTCTTTCTACTGAACTACACCTGTCAACTATACCACTGCGCTGAAAAAGGTATGCGTCTCCTGCTGGTGAAGAGCGAGCTATTGAGCTAGTTAACATTACAGCTCAGCTGAGGAGGACGCCATTAATATTTACATCTCACGCTGTCACAAGCACGAGCCTCTCATACTTTCAGCCTGCCTCTTCCTCTTTATTGTCATAGTTTTAGAGCCAGGTCATGACAATAAGTAGATGAACACTTCTACGTCGTTTGGTAGAAAGAAAATAGTTCCTACATGAAACTGCTCACAACAAGGTCTGTGATTTATCTTGAGTAACCAGGTCATGATTTCTGGAAAGAGACATTGCTGTTGAGTTTTTCAAATGTATTTTTTGGCACTTTGAGCACCACAAGTTAGGTGTCGTCTAGTGCCATTATATTTGAGAGAATACAGATATCTCCAACAAAAATATATATTATTTGATTTTGGGGTGAACAGCCCCTTTGAGGCTGGGTGACAGATTATTACCTTTTTTTGTAATGTTATTACAGGTTGATCATACTCATGACGTCAGCGTCTTTTTCCCAGATATTAGTTGTAAAAGTAATTTCCCTGTTTTGACTATTTACATTATTATTAATACACAGTTTATTATACTGACTTGAATAGCAGCATAATAAATTCACAAACAGAAACTGTGAATTTACAGATGAAATCACAGTCTCAATTAAGTCAGTTTCAACTGATTCAAATATAAAATACATGAGCACTCTTATGTACGTCTTGCTCGAAGTTTACTCCATGTGATATCTTTATTGACATCCGCTATAGAGCTATAGAGCACGACCAAATAGAAACAAGAAAGAGATTTAGAGTTTCATTAGACTTTCATAACTCAAATTTCACAGTCTTTTAATGCAGGAGTTAAAAGTCCACATAATTTATTTTCTAAATTAAATAAAAAGTCAAAGAGCGTTAACATTTTTTCAACATAGTGTATGCTTAAATCTTTTTACATCTTACGTCTTCAACAGTGTCTTTTCTTTATTCTACGTATTCTTTTAATTCTCCTTTATCAAACTGTCAAAGAGTAATACTTACCTCTTGTTCTTTCCGACTCCTGACAAGTTAGAGTGCAGTTTGAAGAGATGCAGTTCTCCCTTCGCTGGTTTTAAGGATGATCAACATTCTCCTACCAAATAAATCTCAGTGATTCGAGGGTTTATAAATCCTCAGTTAAGCCCTCATTTTACAGGTTGCTTAGGAACACCGCCACTTTGGGGTTACAAGTACCATTACACTGCAGAACAGTGAACAGGCCAGATAACAGCACACGTCTGAACCACAGAGTGGCTTCACAAAGAAAAAAGAAAAGTTTTTTCATTCATAAAAACGAAAAACCTGCAGGTCTTTTATCTGTTGTACTCCGCATCCGTTTTTTTTTACATGGATTTACTTCACATTTGTCTTTGTTCAAAAGAAAGAAACTCCACTGTCCAATTCATCGGCCGAGGAGGCTTTTCATGGGGAAATTAATTAGCTGGGTCAGATTGACCCGTGTCAAAGGGAGTAGGGATTTACCCAGCAGTTCAAAAAAGAAACGGGGTCAGTGCTCCACGACTTCAAAAAAGAACATGGATGCAAAATTAGAAAGGGAAAACAGTGTTTGTGCAGAGGTTGTGTGCTTCTGACGAGCTTTAAACTCAGCACCTGAATAGCTGAAGTAGAAAGCCGGTATGCTGTTGATGAAGATGTTGTTCTCGGATTTAGGGGTTTGTGTGGGCGCTTTTATCCCGAGTTGGCTGAAAAAACCTGCTCTCCTCATTTTAGTAAAGACTAAGCTGGATAATTTGAACTTTCTGGGAAGGGAGGAACTTTAATGACACTTGTACACCAACACAAGTGGAGAGAAATATGTAACTATTATTCTATATTTGGAAATGCATGATGCAATGAATGAAAAAAACTCATTTATTAAAAGGAGATTTCAGTTCACACACATGCACACACTCAGTCTTTTACCAAAAGCACTCTGAAAGCTCTTTTGTAGACCCAGAGAATGTTCCCCTTGTTCCCAACTTATTTATTCCACTTCCATGTCATTTTGTGTAGGACGGACTGGTGGCAATATTGAGAGGAAGCACTACACTGTGTGTGTCATTCTGACAAACATGTCCATTATCTGCTTCTGAATCAAATGGGCCTGGAGATTTTAACTGTTTCCCAGATGCTTGTTGTTGCGCAATGCATCATGTGGTTCACCCCATAGTTACAGACGGATTTCGACATGTTTATTTCTCTCCAACAACTCCAGCGTAGTTTCCCTCTGACGCCTCATCTGTTGGCAAGCGGTCAGATATGTGCTGTATGTGCTTGTGAATTGCAGAGCTCAGATCACTCTGCAGAGGAGGACCAGCACGCAAACATGAAGGAGAGGAGTGGAGTTTTTCTGCTGCTGGTGGGGATGTGTGTGCTGCTGCTCATGAGCACAGCAGGTTTCGTGTTCCTGATGGTTCGACAGAGGGAGCTGACGGAGGAGCTGGGCAGGTTGGGCGCCGAGATGCAGGTGCTGTCACAGAGCATCAGGCTGCAGGCTGGGGTCCTGCCTGTGGACCCTGCACAGGCTGGAGAGCTGAAGAAGCTCCACCGCAGCAGGAGAGACCAGGAGGGAAAAGCAACACAAAGCCAAGAGGAGAAGGATATGCTGATGCTGATGACTTACTCCATGGTTCCTGTAAGATAATTATACTTTGATGTCAGATTAAGTCTGATATTTTTCTTGCATCACAGCTGCTTCATTTGCAAAATCAAACAAATGCAAACATTTAGGACAAGAAACATACATTTAACACTGAGGGCAACACATTCAAAACCCTTCAGTGTACATTTGATCTGGGATTAAGCCCCATATTTGATTTTAGGATTGACTGGTGCACACATAAGTGCTTCAGTCTCATATAAGTAAATCATGCAACCCTGTATCACCCTGCTCAGGACATGGTTGGGGTCAGAGACAATGTCTTGGCAGCCCTCATGTGTAGTTACTGTAGGCTGATTCCTAGAGGTCTAAAGGGGTTTGACTTTGTTTGAGCAGATTGTAAAGTGGAGGACAAACACTTGTACCATGTACTATTACAATACTGTAGAACACTCACAATCACAGAAGTAAAAAACAAAGAAGAATTTGTCCTCTCACCCCAAAAGACCAGATAAATTCTTTGTTGTGTCCTTTTGCAGACAGATTTAATGTGGTCTTTCCAGTAATAGCAGACATCTAAATGACACCTAAATGTTTTATGTGCACTCTTTCCAAAAAACTGTGAATACCGCTGACTGTTTACTGTACTGTACAAACAGGGGAGCAATCGACATCTCTTCGCTGTCATTTTTCATAGAGACATTTCCTCTCTATTCCCTTTTGGGATAAGAAGCATGTGTGTGTAATGCAAGGAATCCAACGGACTGTTTTCCACAGACTGCACTGGATAAATACTTTGAGCAGCAGAGTGTAATTGCTCCTCCCTCAACTGTGCTGACATCCAGTGAGAACTGGCATCTCTCCAGAGGGCGCTACTGTACTCATGACAGCACATTTATCAATGAAACACAAGTGTCTTACCAAAATAAAAGTAGTTGTATTAGTTTACTAGTTGTATTACCATATTGGTCTGAAAAATGAATAATCAGCAACAATAATTAGGGCTGCAACTAACATTTATTTTAACTTTAAATTAATTTTCTGATTATTTTCTGAATTAATTAATTATTGTTTAAATTATGAAAGAGAAAGAAAATGGTGGAAAATGCTCAACACGCATTCCCAGAGCTCAAGGTGACATCTTTAAATTTCTTGTTTTGTCTAGTGAGCCGTCCAAACCTAGAAAATATTCACTACCGTCAATTCACTACTGTAGAGGACCAGGAAAAGCAGCAAACATTCACATTTACGAAGCAGGAACAAGTGAATTTTTGACTGAAATAATGACATTAAACGATTAATTGATTATCACAGTTGATGCCAGTTAATATTTTGTCAGCAATCAGTTAATTGACTAATCTTTTCAGATCCAATAATGGGAATAATGTGAAACTAAATTAGTTGTAATCTTCTCTCACATCCTGAGAGCAAGTGACACAGTTGAGGTTGATAAGATGGTTCACAAGAAAAGCAAAGTTTTGTTTTCTACTTAAATCCAAGTGATGTCAAAGATAAAAAATGTGCAACGCTAAGATTCCAGATGTAGTTCAAATCAACACTGACTTCACGCACTGTTTGTTTCTGCTTTCTGTATTTCAGGTCAAAGCCTTCATGGATCTGTGTAACAGCTCCAGAGGAGTTTGTTTAACAGGTGCACCTCATAAATATTCTCCTTTCCAGGACTGTGGTTTTTATGGTTTTATGGTTTTTGGTGTTTCTACTGTATTTGATGTGTGTAAAAATATTTGTTTATTTTTCCCTTCAGGCCCACCTGGACCACCAGGTAAGAACAGTCACTTCAAATAATTGCATAACTTAAAGGGACAGTTCACCCCAAAATTAAAATCACATTTTCCCTCTTATCTGTAGTGCTGTTTATCAGTCTAGATTGTTTTGGTGTGAGTTGCACAGTGTTGGAGATATCGGCCGTAGAGATGCCTGCCTTCTCTCAAATATAATGGAACTATATAATAATATTTTTAGATGTATTTTTTGGCGCTTTGAGCACCACAAGCTGAGTGCCATCTAGTTCAATTATATTCAAGAGAAGGCAGACATCTCTACGGCTGATACCTCCAACACTCGGCAACTCACACCAAAACAATCTAGATCTAAACACGGCACTACAGGTAAGAGGAGAAATGTGTCATTTTGATTTAGGGGTGAATTGCCTCTTTTATACTACACTCAATTTGTTACAGTCTCAGTCCTATTCCCTGTTAGGTTTGCCTGGTAGAGCTGGTTCACCAGGACCACAGGGTGTGCCCGGGCCGCAGGGGAAACGAGGAAGAAAAGGTGAGAGATCTGTTGTGCCAGAGAAATCAATAACCCTCTCTGAGGTGTGCACCAGGGCAGACAAATAACCTCTGAAAGTCAGTCACAAGTTTCAAACAGTCTTCCATTGTTCAGCTGTGGTTACACAACATGAAACCCCCACTCACTGTCCACAAGTGACTCTGACTATATACATAGCTGCCACATTAGGAATGAATGGAGGATTAGATTCAGTTTGAAATGTTTGCTGGACTGATTACACCTGAATCGTGCTGGTTTCAGACTCTTCACAGAATCACAGAGAAAATGTCATGTTTAAAAAAAAGTCTAAGATCTTACGTTGGCAGGTTTAAAGTCCCACAATTAACACAAGATTGTTCTGTTTTTAGTTTCTGTGGTTTAAACTAATGACCTGTCAATGACCAGGACCCCCTGGTGAAAAAGGAGAACCAGGACCGAAAGGAGACCCTGGGCCTCTACTGCTGAAAGGCGAGACCTACAATGACATTCTCATCAAGGGTGAGAGATAGACATGCACGACACATTTGAACCTGATATGAATAATGTGATTAACAGAGACGAGGTCAGTCAGACTGAAGTCAATGTTTACTCAAGATTACATCTGAAAAGGCCTCACCTAATTTTATTCTATTGATTTTCTTGTATATTTTAAGAGCAAGCTTGAGTCTTGACATGTAGCTCCACTACTGGTGAGGGTTTCAAAAATAGCATGATAGCCACTATGTTTTGTTCAACACTTTAAATCGTTTTAGGACGTAATAAACAAACTGAACCTCAAATACTGTGAACTAATCGCCTATTATTTTTGGCAAAATCTTGGTTTAATGATTGTCATAAAGAACCTTTGTCGTTGACCAGCAGTATTGTTTATCGGTTCAGTTTTACATGTCTCACTTGCGTTTACTGTGTGTGTATATTTGAAGGTATTCCTGGTCCGAGGGGTCCACCAGGTCCACCAGGCCCACCAGGTCCTTGTAATCAAAAGACAAAAGAGACCATGAGAGAACACATCGATCAAACCAACATGCTGATGGGTGAGAACGTGTCCACAAAATCAATAATCAATTAACCTGCATATTCCATTTTCACAGCCAAAAAGCTTTTCACAGAAATGACACCAAGGCCTGATCAAAACATAGAAATCTTTGAAGTGATTCCCTAAAATCAAATCTTTAAACTTGTAAATTTGTAAATACAAAATGTAAGTTTGATCCTTGCAGAATAGTGTCTGTGGTCATCTTTAATTCAAGTCACATAGTAGGTGAACCAGTCGTCAAGGTGGTGTGACAAAGTATCAAACATACATGGAAACCTCTCTAATCCAATTGTTTTCT